GTTGTCTCCCAGAAGGAGACCCTACTTCTACCATCCATATCGTGGTAGCGCTCATTACCACGTCTTTACATTATTGTTATTTATTGAATTATTAGATAAAAGAATAATGTAAGTAACATAAAAGAAAGAAGACATCTAGAAAGATATTTTATTTTACCTTTTTTGTCTTATCAAATGGTCAGTAGCCGCACGGGTCCATTCTATAGGCATGTTTAAAATTTGTTGAGAAATGATTATTTTTTTAAAAAAAAAGACGTATACTTCCCTTATAAATATTTTCTCTAGTTTGAAATTCTGTTTATTTTAGTTAACATTCAAAATAATATATGCAAGTAATATGTTTAAGATATCTGCAAAAATAAATTTCTTTTTTATTTAAAAATTAAAAATAATATATGCAGGCAATTAGATTAAGATTCCCTTGCAATATATTTATATCAGACAATTACAAATAATAAGTTATTATCTAAAACATCGAACGAATTCAATCGCGTCAAATATGAGTTCAACTCGAGTTCAATTTGAGTTCACACGAACTAATTTATTTCACTAGATATTATGAATTTATTATACTATTTTTTATTTACAATTTTAATCGTTTAGTTTATTTTTTCTAATTGTAAAATTAAATCATATTTAATCAAGTCAAATCTAACAAAAATTAACAATTTCATCAACGCAAATTCAAACTCGAATTCAACTCGAGTTTGACGAGTTTCTAAATGATTAAATTCGCTGGATATAATAATCTAACTACATTTGTACATGCCAATTATATTAATATTATAATATTAACCCTTACTTATGTTTAATTGTGAAACATAAATAATACCGATATCATTAAATTTTGATTTTTTCTTTGACCATGCGAGTTGATATGTCATACAGTGTCAGAATAATATAGCAATTGTGGCTGTAAAAGGCTGTGCTTAATCGTAAAAGTAAGTTTAACATTATTGTTTCATCATTCATTTCTTTAAACAGAAATTCATAACATTTATTTTTATCTTATGATAGTCATTTTATATTTTGACAATAGATAATAAATTCCATTGTTATGTAATATTCTTCAAAAATGAGACATTGGATCAAAAAATAGGAGATGGAGCACGAGAACTCAGTTATTAGAATTTAGAATTATGATTACAGTATAAAATTGGAATACATACATTATGTACTGTGTGAATGTGTGATCTCGCGAGATGAGAATGTCCGGTTTCAAAATTAATATAAAGAACTTTAATTTGGTAAACATATTTATTTTACTTTTTTTTCGCTTATTTTTCTTAATCGAATTTTTCTATATTTTTTTTCACTAATATTTATATTATGTCTAAACGTAAAGCAGTTTATAATAATCAAGTAGAAGTTGAAACAGGTATTTATATAACTTTTTGTAAATATAATTATATTTTTGCTTATATGTAAGGAAAATAAATAGTAAAATACCAAAAATATGTATGATAGGAACGAAAAAAAATCCAAGGACTTTATCAAAAAAGAAGAGAGAAATGAATATCGAAGAAACTAATCAATTATTATTAGGTAAATATTAATTATATAGGCTTTAGCTCTTTGATATTATTCTATTAATTTTAATTGAAATAATTGAAATGATATATCTGATATTATATAGAAAAAGAAGTAATAGTAGAAGATGATGTAAGGGATAAAAGTGAAGATGAAGATGAAGAAGATGAAGAAGATGAAGATGATGATAATGATAACGACAAGTTAGGCGCGATTAAAACAGTTCTGGATTTGTTTCAGTTTTGTACAAAATTAGATATATGTAACTGGCTTTTAAAAAATCCAGACATTTTACGATTAGCAAATGAGATGAATGAATCATCTTATGTCGTTAGTTCAAAGAATACTGAAGTTAGTATTAATACAATATGGTAATATTTATTATGTCTAAATCTTTAAATAACGTATCTCATAATATTTTAGGATAAAATACGACTCTTGTATGAGTCGGTAAAGTGCTTATTTTTACGAGCGAGGAATCTGAGTAGTGAAGCACTTGATGATTTGGTTGTGAAAATTTTTCAGTTTAAAATTTATACTAGTGAAGCCAGAAGCTATTTAGAAAAAACTCGTAAATCTTTAATTGACTTTCGAAATAAATTCAACCAAAATATTCTAAATTTAGTGGAGGAATACAAAAAAATAAGAAAGAGCAGGTATTTATTTATTTTATTGTTTTATAGTCAACAAAATAGTGCTATTTGTATAATTATTAATTAATTAATTATAGGGGTACGACTGGAAATCTTTCACAAAAAGAAATTAAAGAATACGTTGATGAAAACGTGATGCAAAAACTTTTAAACCGTCAACTCGCAGCTGTCAATATTTTGGAATTAACAAATAATGGAGGAACTGATACGTTAGTTGAGTTTGTTAAGGAAGCCGTCC